CTAACAGAGTGAATATACAATGTGATTTGCTTTGATATTCTCATCCCAGCACTTTTAGAATTGCTCTGTGGGTATTTAGGGTGCCCCAAAGGTGTCCCAGAAGTTGCTTTTGGGGACTCAAGAGGACAGAGGATGGGGCTCCTAGGAAACAGAAGCCCTTTCCTCCCTCCCCTGGTCCAGGTGCCACGGAAGTCCTGACACCTCCGTCCGCATCCCTCCTGGGCCTGCTCCGCTCCCCCCACCTCCGTTTTCCACAGGCTCAGAACGGCCATGTGGCCCCCTTGGGTCCCTCGAGTCTCTTAGGGGCGGGTGAGGCAGTGATGAAGCGGTACTTCTGTCAGAGGGGGAGTGCTCCAGGGCTGGGGGCAAAAGGAGGGAGAGGGCCAGAGACACGGTGCAGGGAGAGGGGCTACATCCGCTTCCCTTTCACGTATGAGCCTTCATAGGTGTCCCATGGCAGGCTCTGCCACTAGAATGGCTCTTGTCAACTTGGGGACCGGGTGTGTTCTGGCTGAATCTTTCAACAGGCTTGCCCGTCCTCAGGCATCAGAATGTGAGCATTTCTTTTCTCAGGTTGGTAAGATTCCCTAGAAGAAACTTCCTCCCTCTGTTTCAGGTGTTAAAATCTGGCCGCCAGCGTTCTGGGCACCTATCAACCCTATCTCTTTGCTGATGTGGTTTTAAGGCTTTCTTTAGTCCTTTGCTGTTATTTCAGTGATATTTTGAGAAGGAACAGGTAAAGGCAACTCTCATTCTTGGACTGATTCTTCTGTTGTTGCGATCAAGATTCCCCTATGCTCGTGAGAATGTATATTTGCTTGTTGTAAAAGAAGCCCTCTTGGCTTAAACAAGAGAGGTTTCTTTCTCTGTTACTGAGTGTATAGGAGTCTCAGCCAAGGTGGTGGCTCTCTGCTCAGGAGGCCCAGGCTCCTGCAGTCTCGTTGCTCTGCCTTCCTTAAAGTGATGCTGTCATCTGCAGGGTGGAAGACAGTCAGTCCCCTGCCTGCAGCAGAGCCCACGGGAAGGGGCCCTGCACACCCAGAGAACTGCATACTTTATTCCTGCTCACCTCTCACTGGCCAGAACCCAGTCCCATAAGCACACCAAGGACTGGGAATGCAATCCTTCATAGGGAATGCACCAAAAATCCAGGCTCTCTTCATATGAGCCAGAAGGAAAGTGTGGGCATCAGGTGACTGCTAGCAGTCTCTGCCATTCTGATGATGACAAGAAGCCACCCCAGATCCCACAGTGACAATTTGCCTCCTGTGCCCTGCCCTGCAGCACATTGTACAGGAACATGGTGAGCACTGGGTATGACACAGGGGCTCCTCAGAGCCAGGAGGGACCCCTGGATCCACAGGGCAGAGTGGGGGCCAGCTGAACCCAGGAGTTCCAGGAATCCTGGGGCGGCCAGAGTATGTTCAAGGCAGCTCCTGAGTGAATAACCTCAGCCTGGGGGAGGGAGGGTGCTACCAAGGCTGTATCAGTTTCCAGTCGTCTGTAATAAATTGCTACAAATTTAGCGACTTAAAATAACATGCATTTATTATTTCATGGTTGTCGGTCGGAAGCCCAGCTGGGCTTGATGGAGTTCTCTGTTTAAGGTCACATGAGGCAAAAATCAATGTTTCAGTCAAATGGGGCTCTCGCTTTGAAGTCTGTGGTAAGACTCTTCAAATTCCCCTCTTGTTTCAAATCTCTGACTTTCTTTTCTGTGATTAACAGAGGACACTCTCTGCTTTTAAAGGCCTCATGTGATTGGATTAGACCCACTGGCACAGTGTCCCTTTTGTCATATAACGTAGCATAATTGTGATAGCTCACATTCATAGGATCTACTATACCCAAAGGCTCGGGGTTGGGGGGTGGACAAATCTGAGGGTCACTGGGCTCCGTGCTTAGAATTCTGCCTATTCCAGAGGCCAAACCTGAGCACCAGAGGTGTGGAACCCAGAAGTGGGGGCTTCGGACTCAATGTCAGAGGAGAAACAGGCCTTCTGAGAACTGGGAGGCGTCACCTTCGTGAGTGAGGCGGGGAATGCGGTCAGGACACAGAGTCTAGAACAGTGTGTGCTCTGGGGTGGCCCCCAGGGCTGTCTGCTGGGCCTCAGCAGGGAGGGAGGCCAGCCCGACCAGCCTTCCAGATCTAGGTCAGACCCCACACCCTTCTGGTGGGAGACTCAAGTTTATAGCTAAGGCAGGGGCTTTTCCATTTAGCTCCAAGGAGGGCCGTCAGAGTCTCTAATGAAACTGAAGTCAGAGACATTATTTTGGGAATGTGTGCATTTTGTGGGGAGGGGGTTCGCAGCTTTTCTTAGATTCTCTGAGACATCAAAGAAATGGGGGGGGGAAAGGATCAAGTGTTGAGTTAATTAATACCTTAAGGAATTTATTCCTATGGCTGATACAACAGCACTTCACTGCACTGACCCCACTAGGGGCCACTTGAGGACACGGATGGGTTAACTTTTTAAATGTCCATAGAACCAGACTCCCAAGTTTGGTTCTTGTTAGAAACCAAGATCCTGGCAGGCTGCTGACAGCACCTAGGACAGAGTACACAGGGTGCAGGGTCGGCGATGGGGTCCTGGTCGTGTTGAAAACCCTCCAGTGTTTCTCCAAAACCCTCAGGATAGAATCCATCTCCCCTTCTCCAATACACCTGCCAGGGTCTGAATGTTTGTGTCCCCCTAAAATTCATAAATTAAAATATTAACCCCCAAGGTGATGGTATTAGGAGATGAGGATTTGGGGAGGTGCTTAGAGCATGAGCGTGTAGCCCTCATGAATGGGATTAGTGAGCTTATAAAAGAGGTCACAGAAAGCGCTCTTGACCTTTGTGTCATGTGAGCACACAGTGAAAACGCAGCCACCTAGGATCCTAAATCTGCTGATCTTTGACTTCCCAGCCTCCAGAACAGTGAGAAATAAATTTCTGGACTCTATACAGTATGTATCTCTCTAAATAAATCTACATTTACTTAGCTAAAAAAAATAATAATAATCAACAAATTTCTGTTGCTTAGAACCCACCCAGTTTGTGGTATTTTTGTTACCACAGCATGACCGGACTAAGACGCTGCTGCTACGTGCATTCCCTCTGGACTGGCCTCTGGCAGCTTCAGTGGCTGTCTGCCTGTTGGCCCATCCACCCAGCAGACCATGAGTGCTGTCTAGGAAAGACCATGTTCCCTAGCACCCAGCCCAGTGCCTGACCCACAGCACGTGCCCAAAGAGTTTGTGAAAAGGAGCAAATCAGCGCATAAGCAAATTTCCTGATGCTCTGGGATGAGAAGTTTCTGTAAAACCTTGTTCTGTGGGAAAAAGGACATTTAGGGACCAGGGCCCTGGAGCAGAAAGGACAGAGCCCCCAGCAAACTAGATTTTCCCTCTAGCTGTTGGAGGGGAAAGGCTGGGGCACTGGACTTTGACTTTGGAAGGAAGCAGTGACATCCTGGGGCCCTTGCTTTCTAAGTCTCAGCCAACCACTCAGGAAATAGCCATTGGATATGGGGGTGAGGGGTAAGTGCAAATGAGGCACCAAGCAGGGTGCTCCCTCCCCTCTCCATTTCTGACCAAGAATTGAGCCAAACACCCACCCTGGCTGGGACCACAGAGGTCACTGACGTCCCTTCCCTATATAGAGAGGGACAGATGCAGGCCCAGAGCCGAGGTGACCGGCCCTGGGTCACATACAGTGTTGGAAGCTGGGCAGGGACAGCCTCCAGTCTTCACCTTTAGCTCACTTCTAGCTCACTGCACCTCAGCACCATGTGGCTCTAGAGGAGTGAGCCTTCCCCCACCCCAACTTTAGGCAGGCAAGAAGGAAGGGATCTGGATGGTTACAACAACTCAGTTTTATTTCTTATTTTCCTCTGGGGATGCAGCATTTGTCATCATGTCTCCCCCACCCCAAAACCGTTCCCACGCTGCATCAGGCTGGCAGGCAGGGTCCCACCCAGTCCTCATCTCTGCAGAGGGAGTGGCAGGAGCTATTTCAAGCCCACTATGAGGGGCAGAAGGGCAGACCCAGCAGAGCCCACAAGGATTTTGGACGACAGGGAGAGTCCAGCTGCACATGGGGCAGAAGCAGAGGGTGAGTAGAGTGGGTTGGGCAGGCTGGACAGCTTGCAGGACAGAACTCCAGGGCCCCTCCGGAGGGCCTCAGGCCCAGAGATCCATCCCACCTGAACCTCCTCCGGTTCCTCAAACCCCCAGGATCTCTGTTGTGGGAGGGCTGCCGCAGGCAGCTGCTGAGAAGGCATGACCCTGGTGGTGAAACAGAGCTGGGAGCTGCCTCCCTCCGCAGGGAAGAAGGCTGAACCCCGGGTGGGACAGAGACACCCAAGTTAACCCAGAAAGATGGCCTTGGGCAGAGTCAGTCTAAACCCAGCACATGCCAGGCCAGAGCCCCTTCCTACCCTCCTCCATCCCCCTCAGAAGAACCCAGAGAGAGAAGGAAACCATGGAGGGTGAGACAAAGGAACAGGCAGACTGGGGCTCACCAGGGCTAAGATCTGGGCTGGATGCTCTGAGGCCCTTGTCCTTCTCCCTCACCCCCAACAGCAAGCCCTGCCAGTGATACTTACCCACCGACACTTACCCACAGACTGCAGAGTTGCCACCAGGCTTCCAGAGGCAACTCCGCCCCCGTTGGCGATGGCGGCCACTGACATCATCTTGGCCGCTAAGGAGGAGGCAGTGATTCCTGCCCCGGTGAAGCCCACAGCACCCAGCACCACCGGCACAGCGCCCACGGCCAGGGCTGTAGGGGGAGAGGAGCTGGGTCAAGGAGAAGACAAACCCCCCCACCACCCCTAAACACACACACACACACACACACACATACACAAGGTCAAGCTTGGGGGGCTTCAGGGAGTCTGGAAAAGGTAGTGAAGTCTGAACCTGGGAGAGACTCCAAGCATGGACAGCAGGAGGTGGGGTGTGGGGTGTGGGCTGGGGACAGGGGAGGCTGCAAGCTTCTTATCTTCCCTAAGGGAATCTTTAACACAAGCAGATCTTTCCTAGGGCCTAGCATAAGCAAGGCGCACATTCCGAGCTCTGCTTGAATCTGAACTCTGGGCCTCCATGGCATCACCACAGAGTAATCAGAAGCCAGAGTCACTGAGCCAATGGCTTCTCCTTAATGCATCTCTGGTGTTCAAACTCTGTGCCTGTCTTGTCCTAGAATAACCTGCGTGGCTAACCCTGCATGGGTGACATTGGCTTGTTTTTCACAAGGAAAGCTGAATTCAGAGTAGTTCAAAGCCATGCCCAGGGTCACAAAGTGGAGGCCCTTCAAAGAGATTGGTCCCCTGCTGGGGCTGCCACCATGTGAGTTTCCAAGACACTCAGTTTCCTCTTCTAGCACCTCCTCCCCTCCCATATACAGGAGGCCTGCGGCATGCTTGGGCCTGTACAAGGCTAGTTGCTACCCAAATCCCAGGGTCTAGGGGACACACGAGCACTTGAGCCTTTCCCAGCAGAGACTCACCTCCTCCTACTGCAGCTACAGCAGCCTTGGCTGGAAACCAAAAGAATTTTCTGTGAGTGGAAAATCCACACTGGCCGTCCCTCCACCCCCCAAGTCTACAGCTCACCTATGGGGAGGCGGCTGCTCAAGGTTGGGAGACACAGGAACAGAGGACCCCTGCCTGCTTCACCCAGAGAAGTGGGATCTCCTGAGAATGTGGATCCCACAGCCCTGAGCTTGGCGAGGGCTGCTGGGGAGTCAAATGCCCCGTCCTGTGTGGATCTGCACGCTTTGGCGTAGAGTTATCTAGAGTTATCAAGGTTTGAGGTCCTTGTTCCAGAACATGCAACCCTTGGATAGGACTTCTGTTTTGTTTTTCAAAATCTGTCTGCTGATGGGTTGGATGGGGGTTGTTCGTGGGGAGACCAGAAGTTATCTTTTTCTTTCTCTCTGCCTTCCAAGCCAGGTTTGGTCAAAACAAACCAAACAAAGCCTGACAAATGTGAGAAGGGAGGCGTGAGGCTGCAGCACGGATGCTCCGTGAATTTGGGCTACTCAGCAAAGTCATGCAGGGCAGGGTGGTTTGATTGGGGCAAGGAGAGGCGAAGGAAGTGAGCGTCATGCTCTCCGAGCCAGGGCGTTAGTTCATCTGCAGTAGGGTCAGGGCACCATATGACCTTGTATCACCCAGAGAGGGCTCTTTAGAGAGCAGTTAGTCCTCATGTAGAGAGATGTCTTTCATTTTGCACAACCTGGCCGAAATCGGGGCAAGCACTTCTGAATGCTTGACTGCTGCTTGAGAACAGTGCTTGCATGAGGTGGACACTCCTGACTCTTCAGGGCCCGACCACCCGTTGCCCCCCTCTCCAGAAAGCTGCCCCAGATCTTCCCAGTCAGAACCATCCTTGCTCCCATGTGGCTGGAGCCACTCTCAGTTCTGGAGCAGCGTTAGGGGTGCCTGGGCTAGCTCTCCACCACTGTGAGTCCCTGGAGGGCAGACAGGGAGGTCTCGGTCTGCTGCAGCCATAGGAGCCAGGACTGCTGTCTTTGGGGCTAGTGGGGACCCGAGTTCTAAAGATAGCAAGATATACAGGGGTGAGCTCAGCCAGCTCTCCAAGAAGAGAGCTTTAGGGTGATGGTGAAGGAAATAAAGAGGTAGCAGTGTGAAAGGCAAACCCTAAGTGATCAGAGGGGCCACCTGGTTGGGGCATGGGGCCAGAGACTCAGGAGTCAAGAGTCTGGTTAGAGGGTATTCGAGTCTCAGCATCATTGTTTGGGAGGAGAAGTGATGCCAGGCCAGCTGGGAGCTGGGCATATCTGGGCCCCGACATACAAGTGGTCCAGGGAGGGAGGGTGCTCTTTGTCTGGTGGCCTGCCTGCTGGGTTCCTCCAGCTGTCATCCTCGGGGCAGGTGGCCTGGCCCTTCTGGGCTGTTCAGAACCTGCCCTGCCCTGAGGCCTCCCCCCAGGCCCAGGGCCCTGAATTTCCATTCTACTTCCTGTCCCCAGGCTCCGGAGTAACGGCCCCTCCCACCTTCCAGCCCTGGGCCCTTGGACAGCAGTTCCCTCATGTGTAAATAAGGGACAATATCATCTTCCTCTGGGGCTGTTAAGAGAATTAAACAAATTGATAAATGTCGAGCGGTAGGCATAGTGATGGGGGCGTCACAGGGTTTAAGAAAATCTAGTTGTTCTGAGTATTTTCACGTTATGAATTGCTTATCATCAGCTGAGGAGTCCTCCTATTTCTGACAATGAGGAAGAACTGCCGGCCGTGGCCGAGGCTCTAACTTTCTTGTCGTGGCCAAGGCTTCAACTTTCTTGTCACACTCCTTTGCACTGGGTGAGGGTCCGAGGAGGGGTGTCTATCATCCAGGGCCGGTTACCTCCTAGTGGGGAAGCCAGGGCCGCAGCAGGGGCTCCTAGCAGGTAGGAGCCATTCAGTGTTGCCATCAAGGATCCCAGGGCTGATGTGGCCCCAGCCAGGGCAGCGTTGGCAGACACGGGGAGCCCTGAGAAAGAAGAGGGGATGAGTGCCCAGGAGTCAGAGGTCAGAGGTCAGGCAGCGGTCAGAGGCACCATTCCCCGATTCCATGCTGCACTGTTTGTGTTGCCAGAGGTTGGAGGAGCCTCAGTGTTCGCCCCACAGGAGAGAAAGGTTAATAGTGGCAGATGCACCTGGGAACACTTTGCAGAGATTAGAAGCAAAGATTAGAGGCTCACCTAGCCACCCTGATGGATCTCAAAAACATAGTTCTCAGGGTGGAAAAAAAGCAAGACCATGAGATCTATAACACACTCTTCTGTGTGTAAATTAAAACACGTGCAAACAGACAAACAACACCCATTTTGCAAGAACATATATGAAAAATAGTTACGTGTTGAATGTAATAGAAAGGTTGAGAGAGGGGGGGAAATCACAGGCAAAAGGGAAGATGAACAGCGAGAATAAATAAATACAAGCAGAGAGGTGGCCTGCAAGAACTAATGAACAAAATGGGCCTGAATTCAAGAATTGTGTTCAAATCAACATTCAGATCCGTCAGGACAAACTTGCAAAAGGCTGGTTAGACGTGTAGGCAAAAACCTAAAGCAGGTGAATTCTGGTGGTGAATCCAGGGGAAATGTGAGCCAGAGTGTGGGGTTTACCAGCAGGGTCCCTCCCTCCATCTAAGCAGGACAGGGAAGGGGGCCCAGACCCCCTGGACCCCTGGCCACGGTCCTTCCTCCCTCTGGCCCTTCTCAGAGAGGAAGGCAGAGTAGACACCCAGGGGAAGGACAGGTGAGGGAGGGAGGCTGCAGGTGACGCCACCCTGCCCTCCTGTGGGTCCTTGGGCCGAACCCTGTGCTGTGCCTTCCCTGGCCCCAGACTTGCCCCTTACCGGCTCCCCCAGGAATACTCACCCACTGAAGGGAGTCCTGCCAGGATACCACCAGAGGCTGCCCCACCCACTGTGGCCAGACTCCCTGCCGACAGTATCTTGGAAGCCACATTAGAGGCCAAGATGAATGCCTGGGAAAATTCCATGGCTCCAAAATGGAGGAGCACCAAACCTGCCAAAAGGGTGGAGCTTTGATGGTGCGATGGGACACCAGAACTGGGGTCACACCCACCGCCCTAAAAGTCCCAAGGGGCTCCAGGGGATAAAGAGGATGCTCTGAGTTGGTGGGGGCAGCAGGCCCGGAAAGCGTCGCAGGTGGGTGTTGGTGTTACAGGAGGACCTGTATGAGGAGAAGGCGGGAATTGCAGGAGATTTTATTTCCCCAGATGAGCTGCTTCCTTCCTCCCCAAACGCCAGATCCTTAAATATTTCCAGAACTCCCAAAAGTCTCCCTGGAGCAATTGGAAAGGTACTAGAATTAGGAAGTCAGAACCAATTATGGTTTTCAGGCATATACCATAGCCAGGTTGTTCTGGATTGTACGCCATCTCCTCACTAACACAACTGGAAGGATGAGACTACTGTCCCCATGTTGTGAGGGGGAAACACCGGCGCAGAAAGGGTAAGGGATTCGCCCAAGGTGACAAGGGTTTGCGGGGCAAAGCGCAACCTGATCCAGGTTCCCGGGCTTCCAAAGCGTGGGCTTGGAAGGGCTCTGACTTGGTTCCTCCTAACACTCGTCTCTCCCCCTGCCTGTCTCCACCCCACCGAGCCTCGAGGCTTGAGGTAACTGGGCATGGACTAGGCTAGTCATCCCAGAGACCCAGAGCTCAGGGACAGGTTGGGGCTGAAGCCCTTTCCTCCTGAGACCCAGCTTCTCTGACTGCAGCCATCCCGGTGAGAAATATGAGACAATTCTTCGAGTGGCTCCCCGCAGGTCTCCCCTCCACTCGCTGAGCCCACCACTTACCCGAGCGCGGGGGCCACAGGAAGAAGCAGCCCTTGCCCACCCCTCCCTGTCTTACCCAGAGAATCGAGGAACAGACTCCGTGGTCTGGAGTTTGGATGTGTTCTGGGAAGATCTGATGCAGGGTATTTAGAGCAGCTCCACCCTTCCTGAAGCACAGCCTCACGTGATGCAGGCAGCAAATGAGATAGCTCTCGTTTTCGCAGGAAAATGAAACCATACCTATTGTTCTACCTTTTCCCCAAGGAGCAGATTTAGTTATTACAAAGGTCAATTTCCTAATCACTTCTTGACCCAAAGATCTTACCACACGCCATTTAATTTCTCTGCTGCCGTCACAGCAAATTGTTGAAAGAGCCATAGACCACCACGGCCGTACATAACATGAAATATTTTCAGGCATCCCAAAAGCTAGAGATAAAAATAAAACAAACACTTATTCGCATACCACTCAGCTCAGGACTTCAAACATTACAGATACAATTTACACAGCCTGAGAATCCCTTCTAATTTCCCTCCTTTCTCTGCCTCCTTCCCCACAGGTATTCACCCTCCAGAATTTAGGGTTGATTCCTCCCATGCATGCTTTTCTTCTTTCACCACATATCAATGTTAAATGCAGAACTGTCTTGGCACTCGCTGAATGTTCATTGCTATTTCAACTGAAGTTCAAAGACAAGGAAGTGGTACAATTACGTGCCAAGAATCTTCACCATCTAACCTCTGCTGGACCAGTATGCCAGGAAGATGTAAAACCTGTTTTGAAAGAAGTAGAGGAATGAATTAGGGAGTTGAGATTGGAGAGGAAAGGAAACGGAGAGGGAGGAAGAGAAACTGAGAGGGCATTGGTGGCCAGTGCTTTTCTCCCAGTCCCGTGGGAAAGTGCGTGGCCCAGGCCTTGGAAAGCCTGAAGTGAATCCCTTGGAATTTGAGGGAAGCAAGGACAAGGATCTGAGTTAGGCATGTAAAGTGGACAGGCAGGAGACTGGCTGGCAGGCCTTCCTGGGGAAGGAGGGCAAGGGGACCACCCTGGGGTTGAGCTGCCCCTTTAGATCTTGGGACTGTTTGCCGTGGACCAAAGGTGGAAGAAGGCAGGCAGAGGGAGGAGCTGAGAACTCGATCCCGCGCACTGCCCAGAGGGTCCGAGGGGAGTCCAGGATGGCTGGATTGTTGGAGAGCAGTGGCCGAGCACACACTTGGAGGTGTCTAGCCACGGGGGCTTGCCCTTGTCAAGGCCCCTGCAGGTGAGTGAACCCTGCTGACAGGAGGGTCCAAGAGCCTACGAAGAGTTGGCAGTTTGAATCCTCCCCACCAGGGGGCGCCAAAAACAGATCGCAACAGCATCAGCAGAGGGCTCCTAAAAACAAAAACAAAAACAAAAACAAAACAAAAACAAAAAACGGGCACTCAGGGCCAAATTCTTGCTTTCAGCCAAACACTGCATGAAGTGCTTTGTCTGTATTATTTTAATCTTCACAACAACCCCACAAAGAGGTACCATCATCCCTATTTTATGGATAAGCTCATCAGTCATATGGAGTTTCTTTGCTGACTCCCAGGGGGCCTCCCATTTTGCTCTTTACCTGAGTTCTCCGGACCCTCTCTCCTTCACTCCCTACCCTCTGCCCCTGTTGCATCCATGACTCTCTTCCTGGGCCTCCACACCTAGGCAGGCACCCTCTTGGTTGAATCTTCTCAAGACAGCTCAAGCCCATTGACTCTTCAAGCCTCCATGTGACCCTCAGGAATGCAGCTTCCTCACACTGGCAAGCTCCCACTGTCATGGCCTCTCCTCCACTGCCTACCCACTGTGGACCGACAGCCCAAGATGGACCCGACAACCATTGCAGGTCTCAAAGATCTTACACTCCCTGCCCCCTGGGGCTCCAAGATCGTGACCAAGAAATCTAAAGCATCCTCCAGCCCCCACCCCTGTCAAAGCTCCATGAGGAGGTCTCTGTCTTATTAACCCATGTGTCACAGCACCCAGAGCACTGGCGGCAATCAGCAAATACACGTTGAATAAATTCCTTTTAAAGCATTGTTTCCAATGAATCCCAGGCCCTCCCTTACACAGGCTGGATATGAGTGTGAGGGACCGAGAGTCACAGAATTGTTAGCCCCAAGAGGTCTGACCAGGAGCTTTCTTTGTAAGTGGGAGTCATTGTCCCCCACTGTTCTCAGCTTTGAAGTTTAAGTTGAGATTTCTCCAAAATAGGAAAGTTAAAAAAAAATCCAGCTACACAAGTATTAGTAAAATGGAGGAAAGGCTAAATAAAGTGTGGTGTATTATTACCATGGAATGCTAGACAGTGGTTAAAAGTAATGAGAATGACCTATGGAATAGAAAAGGGTCAGCTACAGAACAGTATGTATGAGTTTAAACTACACTATGTCAATAAAAAGGCATGTAACAGCACTACATTAAATGTTTTCTGGGAAGATATCTCTACATGTCTAGCTCATGTCTATCTACCTATCTGTCTATCATCTATAAGTGGAAGTCACTTTAAAAGGGCATGAAAACGTACTTACCAAATTGCGGCAGCACTTAGGTCTGGGAGTGGGGGTGAGGGATTGTGAGAATGGGGGTGATGCTTGTCAGATCCAAATCAACTTTAGCCTCATCTATAGTCATTTAGATTTTTAAAAGCAGAATGCATTTGAATATTTATTAGATAATTTTAATGGACTTTATTTTTTTAGAGCACTTTTAGGTTCAGAAGAAAACTGAGGTTCAGAACAGAGGTTTCCCCTACACTCTCTGCTCCTACATATGCACAGCCTCCCCTGTTATCAACAAGTCCCATCTCAGGTAATTTAAATGCAGTAGAATGTTGGTTTTCATTAGAAAAGAATACAATCCCATTTTGTAAAATTATAAATAAAAAGACGAAAACCTACTGGTGGCCTGTCTTCAGCTCCATCATGCTGTTCCCTAATTGCTGAAGCAGGAGGAAGATTTTAAAAAAATGAAGAAGGATGCAGCACACCTGACTGGGGGACTGCTCTGCCTCCCCCCATAAGGGCCCTGGAGGCCTGGGCTTCCCTCAGAGGACACACCTCATGCTGTCTAGGGGACAGTGACTGTCTTTGGCCACACAGAGTCCCAGGCTCCTGTTCTCTTTGAAATAGGAACTTACTTTTCTTTCAGGTCCTGGAGCCCCTGCCCTGACCCTGGGCTTGTCTGAGACCTGAGTCCTCCTCCCAGCCTCTAAAGGTGAGCCCAGAATGAATGAAACCAATCATCACATCCCATCCCTTGGGCCAAAGTAACTGCTGTAGGGATAAATAGATGACTGGGTTTAAGATACTAATAGGAACATCTACCAGATATATCTGGGAAGGAAGTTTCCTTGCTTTTCAGCGGAAGGTTCATGGAAAAAATGCTCTTTTGGGGGGAGATGGGAATAAAGCAGCAGGTAGCCTCCAAGGCCTGCTAACAGCCCTCTTGTAACCATAAGCGTTGGCAGCCATAGGATAAAGCTGATGCCTCAGAAAGCAGAGAGAAGAGATAGAAAAAACCAGCAACAATGTTGAGCTGTTGAATCAAACTTTGCCTGAAGCCCACTTACCTTTGTACTTTTCAGTTCAGCAGGCGAATAAACTCCCTTGAACTCTGAACCAATTGTAGTCAAGATTCTATGACTTATAACTACATAACCCTTAAATAAAATGGCACCTCCTCCAGGCAGTCTTCCCAGATAGCTACAATGAGAATTAATCTCCTCTTTCTCTGCCACCCTGCCATGTAGCTTGAACATCTCAACAGACTACACACATTGTATCATGATATCAGTTAACTATTGGTGGGTAACAAACACCTACCAAATTTAGTGAATTAAAAAAATATTTATTTAGCTCATGATTCAGTGAGTCAGTAGTTTAGGCAGGCAGTTCTTCTGGTTTCAGCTGGGCTCCCTCATACATCCACAGTCAGCTGCCGGCTGGCTTTGCGGATCTTAGCTGGGCTATTTCTTGTGTCTGGACTTTGGACTTCATTCTGTCCTTACGTTTGTTGTCCTCCAGCAGGCCAATCCAGATTGGAAGGGAGGGAAAATAAACCCCAGCTCTTGGTGAGAGGAGCTGTACAGGCAGATTGAAGGTAACTTTGTACAGAGAGGGGTGGAGAATGTGGTCACTATTGTAATTGACGACAGGTCCCTTGACACAATTAGCCGTGTACTTGCCTTGCCCCCCAACACTGCACCTGTTAGAGTCCAACCTTGGGTTGTTCACCACATAACAAGCCAATAAATTGAGAGACAAGTTGTTGGGGCAATGAATTTTTTACTTTATTCAAATAGCCAGCAGACTAAGAAGACAGTGGACAAATGTTCCAAAGAACCATCTTACCTGAGGCTTCTTTTATACTCAAAGGGGTGGTGCTGTGGGTGGTTGCTGCAAACTTCTTGGTGCCGGAATCCTTAGTTCTTGCAGCTGTCTACCTAGGTCTGGTCATAATCTTCCTCTAAACCTCCAACAAGACAAATGTTATTTTCTGTTCTGCAACTTACTAATGGAGAAGTGTCATAATTTTGAAGGTCAGAGCCTTGAGAATGGGCTATCCTGCATACTTCAGGCTACAGGCAAACGATCTTTTACAAAACATGCAGGGCTGCAAGACTAAGCACAGGCAACAGAGCAAAAGGTTAGCGCTGAAGGAAGAGATTCAATATGGAGTAAGGTTTGTTTTTCTCTGTTGCACGCCTGGGCAGAGAGGATTCCCTTGGATCCATTGCAGCCGCGGGGCTTGGGATGGAGCCCTTGAGGCCAGCTGGGAGCTGCAGAAGTGAGCTGAGGCAGCATCCCAGGAAAGAGCCTGGTCAGGGAGGGACGATAAAGGAAGACAAGTGTGAAGGCCACAGTGGGGACATGAGCTGAGGTCCTGGAGCCAATAGGTTGAGATCTGAGACTCAAGTCTAAAGTGGAATCAGGCCTTCCAGAAGCTGGATGTGGGTTATCTGCATAGGCAGCCATGTGGTAGATGCGGGTCAATATGCATAGAACACCCAGCACCTGATCCAGGGCCAGGCATCCAGTGGACCTTTGGCAAAGAATGTTCTGCAGTGACCGGCCTCTTGGGAGCCCCACCGGGGGTGGAGGCGCGCATGTCCTTGCAGGTTCTGGCCAGTCTCACTTGGGGCCTGTGGACCCTGAGCTCTGGACCAGTAGGGACAGAGCTCCCTGAGAAATGTAACTTCTCTCCCTGCCCTAAGAGCCCCAAGGGGCACCAGGCAAGGCAGACACAGTGTTGCTGAACTTCTAAAGTCATGATACAGCCAAACTCGGAGTCTTGGGTGCGGAGAGAGGGGGCAATAGTTCCTGAGGATAAAGGGCTTGGTAACTGAGGGTCAGTGGCTCAAAGTGACCCCAGAGCCAAGCCATCCTATAATACCGCTGCCTCTGGCTGAGATCTTGGAAGACATGTGGTCCAAGTCCCCATGCAAACAGCAGCAAACTGAGGCTCAAAGAGGAGACATGACCTTCCCAGGGTCACAGGTTAGTGTCAGGACTGGGAACAGACCTGGCTTCTAGCCGTGGATGCCGGTGCCCGTTGGTGCAGAGCTCCTGCTCACCCGCACGGCCCTGCATGGGCGCTGCCCCCTGCCCCGTCACACGAGCACAGCATGGACACTTGTGGAGCTCACGGCATCTCATCTTTATTTCTCATGCTTCTGTGGACAATTTTAGGAGGGAGGGGACTTGTCATTTGGGGGAGTATCATTCTGAGGCCCTGGAGGGTCATCTCCAACCTGGGAGCCCCTCTCCGCTTTAGTGCCGGGTCCTGGTGAAGGAGACGAAGGAGGTGCCTTTTTTAAACCCCACGAGCCAGGCCCCAATAGTTGAGCCAGCGGAACCCAAGATGATGTTGGCTGACGTGGAGAGTCCGGCTGCCCCTAGGAGAGAGAAGGGGATCAGAGCACGGGGGCAGGTAGCCCCAGCAGGTCCCAGCAAGAGTATAGGGGTCAGAGGCCCCAGGGACCCTCAGGAGGCCCAGGACCCAGACATCCCATACCTGTTCCCTCCCCTACTTCCTGAAACCCCAGGGTGCCTGCTGCGGGGAGACGCCAAGGGAGGAGACATGAACTCTGGTGGTGAAGCTACCAGCGACAAGGCGGACTCTCTGGGGACCGGCAGGCTGTCTCCCCCTCCACAGCACATGGCCGGCGCACAGAGAAGGGAGGGGAGTGGCCCAGGCTTTGCAGGGTTGATGGGGAGTGCAGACCTCCTGGGCTGCACCCCTAGTCCCACCACCCCCACCCCCAACCAGAAGAGGGGACAGTAAGGGAGAGACAAAGGACCAAGGACACTGAGGACCGCAAAGCTGGAGGGAGCAGACAGGCCCTGCCTCACGCTTAGCCCCTGGGCTGAATCCTGTGCTGGTTTGTCACCACCCCATACCGCCACCTCTCCCTGCTGAGACACTCACCCACGGACTGGAGAGTCGCCACCAGGCTGCCGGCAGCAACTCAGCCCCCATTGGCGATGGCGGCCGCTGACATCATCTTGGCCGCTAAGGAAGGAGGCGGCGATTCCTGCCCCGGTGAAGCCCACAGCACCCAGCACCACCGGCACAGCCCCCACAGCCACAACTGTAGGAAGAAAGGAACTTTGTGGTTGGCCCCAGGGGATGGACTCCCCCTGGTCTCCCTGACACCCTCCTGGGAGGGTGAGGTGGGGCATCTGTTTTACTCTTGTGAGAGTCACGGGGCCCGAGGCAAAAGAGGACTGTAGATGTGCACACGAGTGGATGGGGCCCTCTGAGAACCTGGATCTCAGGCTTGTCCATGTCTCTGTTTTGCTGTGACACCTGGAAGGCTCACCTGTCCTCCCTGGGCCTCAGATGCCCTTGGGTGAAATCAATTAGGGTGAAACAAGCAGAGGTCTTCAAACGTCCCCTTTTGGCGGGGAAAACAGCGTCTTTCCCCCAAGCATAAGGCCGACAGAATAAGGACAGAGCCGCTCTTCTGGAAAGGTGATGGGGTGGGGACTTCAGCTCTCTGCCCTGCAGCCGCATATGAGCATCCCCCAGGGGTCCCTAATATCTCCAGAGACTGCAGGCATAGTACTTTCTGCAACAAGGAGATGGTCTGTATCTACACCCTCCAACAATGGTGGCCGCGTGTGGCTGCTGAACATATGAGACTGTGGCTAGTGTGACACAGTGTTCTCATTTTCCTTAATTCTCGCCTCCGTGTTGGAGGATGCTCGTCAGAAGCACAGCTGGGCACCTCTGGGCTCACCGGATGAGCTAGAGGGTTTGTGAAGCAGTTCCGAGGAAGGGCCACAGCTCAGCTCGCACACTCCCTAGAACCCTCTGGCGGTACCTCTGACCCTGCTATCAAGGGGAGGAGTCACGGGTTCAGACAGACCAAAGGACTCGCCTGGATCTCACGGTTTGCACTTGGGAGAAGCTGAGACTAGATATGGGTTTGTGAATGGCTTTGCTTTGCTTCCTTCATAGCAAGGTAGGTTCCTGTCACCTCGAGTGTTCCACCTCGGTCCCCTGCCTGTTCCACCCCTACCCGCCCATGTCTTGGAGCTCAAGGGACTCTTGGGCTGGTCAAGGCCAGGTGCTTCTAGGGACTCAAGGCCAGGGGCAGATGGAGGCTTGAGATTGTACCAAAGAGACTCACCTCCTCCAGTCACAGCAGCAGCAACCCTGGCTGGAGACAGAAAGAACACCTGTGAGTGCGCGGCGCTGGCCTCCTGACGTGTGCCTGTATTAACTGCCTGTGGCTCCCATAACCAATTACAAGCTGGGTATTTATTCTCTCGTATTTGCTCACAGTTCTGGAGGTCAGAAATCTGAAATCAAGGTGTAGGCAGGGCCAGGCTCTCTCTGAAAGCTCTAGAGGAGGATCCTTCCTTGCCTCTTCCTAGCTCCTGGTGGCTGCCGGAGATCCATGGCTTGTGACTGCATCCCTCCAGGCTGTCTCTGGCTTCACACTATCCTCTCCCTGCGCATCTCTTCTCTTCCCGTAAGGCAATGTCATTCTCCATCATCTCTGCTCTTTCAGGTCAAGGGCCAAGCCTCATTCACTGCTGCCTCCCCCAGTGCCAGGTACAGACTTGGGAGCAAGGAGGCACTGAATGAGTATTTCAGAGAAAGATGTATGACCCAAGAGTGCACCTCTGTGCATCAAAGGACATGCTATGGTCTGAACGTGTGTGTCCCCCCCCAAATTCACATGCTGAAACCTAATGCCCAATGTGATGGTCTTGGGAGGTGAGCCTTTGGGAGGTGATTAGGTCTTGAGAGCAGAGCCCTCATGACTGAGCTTAATTTCCTTCTGAAAGAGACCCCAGAGAGCTCCTTAGTTCCCTCCACCACGGGAGCTTACTATGAAAAAATGGCTGTCTAAGAAGTGGGGTCTCACCACACACTGAATCGGCTGGGGCCTTGAACTTAGACTTCCCAGCCTCAAGAACTGTGAGAAATAAGTTTCTGTTGTTTATAAGCCAGCCAGTTTATGGCATTTTGTGACAGCAGCCCTAACTGACTTAAACAGGACACTGTCAACAGAGTGGAAAGGCAACCTACAGAGTGGGAGGAAATATTTGCAAATCATATGTCTGGTAAGGGGTTAATATTCAGGATATAGAAAGACTTCTTACAACAACAAAAAGCCCAAATAACTAGATTTAAAAATGGGCAAAGAATTCAAATAGATATTTCTCTAAAGAAGATATGCAAATGACCAACAAGCATATGAAAAGATGCTGAACTCGGCAGTGATCATTAGGGAAATGCAAATCAAAACTGCAATGAGATCTCACTCCCCACCCAGCAGGATAGCTACTATCAAAAAAAAAAAAACCCATAAAATAACAAGTGTTGGCTAGGATGTGGAAAAATCTGGAACCCTTGAGCACTGTTTCTAGCAGTATAAAATGGTGTAGCAGCTATGAGAAACAGTATGGCAGTTCCTCAAAAAAATTAAAACTAGAACACCATATGATCCAGCAATCCTACTTCTGGTTTATATCCAAAGGAACTGAAAGCATGGGCTGGAAGAGATACTTGCACACACCACGTCACATTATTATCAGTAGCCACGAAGTGGAAGCAACCCAAGTGTCCATCAATGGATGAACAGATAATCAAAATGTGGTCTATATATACAACAGAATAGTATTCAGCTTTAAAAAGGAAGTTCTGACATATGCGTGAACCTTGGCGATCTTATGCAAAGCAAAATAAGCCAGTCACAAAAAAGACAAATACTGTATGACTCCACTTATATGAGGTCCCTAGAGTAGTCAAATTCATGGAGACAGAGAGAACTGTGGTTGCCAGGAGCTGGGGGAAGGAGGGAATGGGAAGTTAATGTTCAATGTGTACCGAGTTTCAGTTTGGGGAGAAAAGAGTTCTGGAGATTGGCTGCACAATCATGTGAATGTAGTTAACACTACTGAACTGTTCCCTGACAAATGCTTTTGTTGGTGAAGTTAGTACGATGTGTATTTTGCCACAACTAAGGAAAAAAGGGTGTGCCTTCTGCTGCCCTGGCCCTGGGCTGGCCCCACCTTAGAGGTGAGACTGCTCTGTGAGGGTGTGTCCTGGGAGGCCAGTAGTGACCAGGCCCTGGGGCACCAAGGGAGGAGCAGGACTGGAGAAATGAAACTTACCCAGGACCTGGGTGCTGTGGGGCCAACAAGTCAGGCATTGGCAGTGGACTTGAACTGGCGAGGCGCTGGGCCTGAGCCTGCCCCGCCGGCTGACCGGGAGCCCAGGCAGCATGCCTGTCCTGGGTGCTGGGAGAACCCTGATAGTGACCTAATCCTACCCCTGAGCTTAAAAACAGACAAGGCGCAGAGCGGGCAGCTGACTGGCTCCAGGTCACTCAGAAAGCTAGGACCTGAGCATGGTCCTTCTGTTTCTAGAGCATTATTTATTTCATCTCCCACATGCACTGTGCACCTTTTCTCATAGAAATTATATCACAGACGTGGGCCTTAACACGGACAATTTAGAAAGCTGAGCTGGGCAGTGAGGGTGGGGTGAGGTCCAGTGGATTGGTGCTCAGGGCTGTCACCTGCATGGTGGGTGAAATTACTGCCTCTGTTCTTGGGTGGGTCGGTGGGGTCAGAGCCAGATCCATCTGGTCCTTGAGGTGGCCCCTGAGGTGGCCCCTGTGGTGGCTTCGCAGGAGTAGAACCATCAGAGGCCTGGATGGATGACTGGGAAGGCTCCTCCTCCTCTGGAAAAGAAGCAGAAGGTGAGCTCACAGGGGCGCGGGCAGCTGCGGGACCAGAGGCCCCACACAGCACCCTCCACCATTTCCCGGAACTCTCAGGAACTCTGATGTGGGGAGGTGACCTCAGTGGCAGCTGTGCCGAGAGATGGCGAGAATGCTTGGAGGTGAAGCCAAGGAGAAGACAGAGAGAGGGAGACCCAGCACCAACAGAGAGCTGGCAGGTTCCTACCTTCACAGAGCCCAGGAGGCCCAGGAGGGAAGAGACTTGCTCGGACGCTGTGCACCTTAGTGGCAGCTCCAGCCCAGGATCTTGACCCCCTCTGCCCTTGTCCTGGCACCCCAAGCCCTGGGTTCCCCAGCCAGAGCCTCCCTGAGGGCACTCACCATCCGACCCAAATTCTGGCAGGAGGGCGTCGGCAGCAGCAACTTCCCCATTTTCTATGGCTTTGGCTGACATCTTGGCGGCGGTGTGGGAACACTAGGTGCAGAGTCTACAGCCACCACGATCTTTCCTAGAAAGAGAAAGTGAAAATTAAAAGTGCTCTGACTTATAATGCATTCAGGAGACGGGGCACCTCTCTGTTGCCCTGAGCCCTGGCCTCTGTCCTGTAGCCGTCTGGGGGCCACTTCCAGCACCCCGCCCCAAATCTGCACAGGCCACAGCTTCTAAAATTAATAGTGACGTTGCTTGGCTCCCTGATCTCCAGGATTCTGTCCATCTTTAATATTCCATCCCTGTCCCCTGCCTGCTGCCCTTCCAGCCTGTCTTTGGGCTTTGGAGTAACCTGGGTTGGGACAAGACCTGTGGCTCCCGAAGTCTCAGGGTAAAGATGGGCTTAAGCTCCTTCCCAGCACACTCACCTCTGATCACAGTGACAGCAGCCCTGGATGGAGGCGGAGAGGGATGCTGTGAGTGGAGTCCCCTTGCTCCCTCTCCTCCCCCACCTCCCAGGCCCCTGCCTACCTTGGGAAGTGATTGCCGGAGAGCACAGAGCAGTGTCAGAAGTCCTGCTCAGAGTGAGGCAGCTGAGGGCTCCAGCCGACTATATAGTCCCACTCTGGATGGCCTCCAACCTCAAAAGTCAAAGGAGTAGGTGAGTCATTCTCATTCCAGGGTTGGTGTCAGATAGGCCTTACCTTTGCATGGGGTGAGTGTGGGCGGGTCTTCTTCAGGAAAGACTAAATCCACCATATCCCAGCGCCAGGAGCAATATTTTCTCTCCAAAATCCCTTTCTTGGAAGTGTGAGAAGTCCATAGTCCTCCTTTTTATAAAACTTCAATTGCAATTCTTGGGAACTTTATTTTGTATGAGATCATCCCTCCCCTGCGCCCCAAGATTTATAGATATCTTGCACAAAACATTTTACCTTGGCTGACAAATGGCACAGATCCCTAGTCCCATAACCGAAATCACCAGGGAGGCAGCACGGGTGGCAGTCAATAGCACGATCTCTGACCAGTGCCTGGGTTGGAATTCTTAGCTGTGACCTTGGGCAAGTTAATTAACCTTGATGTGCCTTAGTCTGGGGACACATAGGCACTCAGAAAATAGGTGCTTTATTATGTTTACTTGTTTTTGTCCCTCACCCCTAGTGGAATAAGTCTCATGAAAAAGGTGGATTTGTCTGTCTTTTTTCTCTTAGGTCAGGAACTTAGTAAATATATTGTGGAGTAAAGAATGAATAAAGAGAAGAAAGAGCAAAGTGCGAATCTCTGTGAAGCTGGACGGGGAAAGGAGGAGAAGGAAATGAAAGAAGTAGGAGACTCAGGGGCGGGAGAGGCCTCTGCTTGGGATATTCCTGACTTTCCCAGGAAATGAGGCTCTGCCCCTCGTGCCAGACAAGGACATGAGGGACCAGACCCAGCATCCTGCCTGTCCCCCACCTCCCACCCCTGTTTACTTTTAGGACGACACCCCCAAACAGTTCAGCAAAAACTCTTCCAGTTTCCTTCAGATGCTGCGTGACACTGCCCATGGGACAGATAGGGGAGAGGCTTTCCGAATGGGTTGGAAGAGCCCCTCTTTTGTATTACTTGATGTCGGCTCTACTTTCCTGGCAGAATTTGAGGCATCAAGGATATCTCCCACCTGGAGAAACAGCTCGATTGGTTTTTCTGAATTTCCTGTCACTAGAAGATAGCTAGAAAGAAAACCTACGTAACAGGAAAGACAGTACCATAAGACCACGTGTGACATTAAAAACACCATGAACAAAGGTAAGGGACATAGTGATTCAGTCTGTAGGTAAGTTTTTTATGTAAGGTACTTGGAACTGCTTCGGGTGTCTGGGCAAAGCTCTCAATAAAGTACAGTGTCTCAGGCATAAATTACTTTTACCATCTGAGTGGGAAAACAGGGCTTTTCTGTACTACTGTCACTCATACCACTTCTGATATCACTAAGCAATTCCACACCAAGCAATTCTCCAGTTCTCTGTGGACACCAGCTGGGTGTCCTGTCATTTAACTCGATTTTGACTCTAACTGGAGTTAACTCTACAGTTCGGGGTTCGAACTCATAAGACTTCCCTGGCTAAGATGCTAATCATTAAGTAGTGAGTCTCAGGTTACACACAACTTTTGTCCAATTTGGCAACAAATTGGGTGCTCCCAAGACCTCCACCTTTGGTTCCATCATTTGCCAAAAGGCTCACAGCACTTGGGAAAATACTTTGCTATTACTGATTTATTTCAGAGGATGTGAAAAGATACAAACGGAGAGTCAGGTGAAAAGATACCCATGAGAGGTCCCGAGCTCAGGAGTTTCGGTCCCTGTGGAGTCTGTGGTGTTCCACACTTCCAGTGTGTGGAAGTATTCTACTTAACCAACCTGGAAGTTCTCAGAACTCCACACTTCAGGGACTTTAATGGAGGTTTTGATATGATTGAATATTAACTTGATCTTTAGTCCTTTTCTTGTCCTGGGAGGATTGAGGAATGGGGCTGATCATAGTTTGGTCTTTCTGGTGAGCAGCCCCCAGCCGGGACCCCACCTAGAATCAGCCCATTAGAACAAAAGATGTTCTAGTCACCCAGGAAATTCCAAGGAATTTAGGAGCTCTGCATAAGTTGCACCCATCACTTAGGAAATTACAAAGGCTCTAGGAGCTCTGTGTTAGGCACTGAGGTCAAAGACCAATACATACATGTTTGTTATTATTTCACATCATCTGATAAAAGAAAATGCCAAAATATTTCCCTTTAAGAAAGAATAGCAAATTAATTGTTTCACTATTAATTTTTTTACTGTTGGTGTTATTTTATTAATCATAACTAGATTCAGGTTAAATATTTTGTGATAAGAATATAACAGAGGTGATGTAGTTTTTTCTTTAACTTTTGAACTTTGGAGTAATTATAGATTTACAGGAAGTTGCAAAGTTAGTATAGAGAGACCCTGTGTACCCTACACCCAGTTAACTCCATTGATCACATGTTATAAAATAATAGCATAAGCTAAAAGCCAGGAAACGGACATTGGAAGAAAGCGTGTATATAGTTCTATGTCATTTTACTACACGTGTAACCACCACTGCAATCAAGACACTCCATCATCCACAAAGATCTCCCTTTATAGTCACACCCATCCTCTACCCCTCACCCTCATCCTGGCTTTACTAATTCCTGGAAACCACTGAACTGTTTTCCATCTCTAAAATGACGTCGTTTCGAGAATGTTACATGATGTTTTGAGATGGGCTTTTTGCACTCAACATAATGCCATTTAGACCCACTGAAGTTGTATTAATAGTTTGTTCCTTTTTATTGCTGAGTGGTCCTTCACGGTATAGATGTACTGTTTTTTCCCAGCTTTATTGAGACATAATTGACATACAACATTGTGTAAATTTAAGGTATACAATGCGATTTAATACATGTATATATTGCAAAATGATTACCATATAACACAGTTTGTTTAGCCATTCACTTATTGTAGATCATTTTGGCTGTTTCCTGTTTTGGGCAATTACAGGTGAAGCTGCTATGAACTGTCAACAGATGCTATGTGGCCAGGTCAGTACTCTGTCACTTTTGGTATTGGGTTCGACTGCAAAAGGGGAGGGGGAGGAGCCTGTTCTTAAGCTAAGCTCAACTGCTTACTCACTCATTCATTCAACAAATATCTATGACTCACTAAGTCAGCCGGCACTGATTAGGCATTTTGGGGGATTCTACGATGAGAGGGGATATCCTGAGGAGCCTGCGATCTAGCAGAGGAACTAAGACATGAAAGTAAATCTCTTCATCTAATGCAGAGCTGAAAGTGTTATTCACCCTAGCAAAAGATTTGAGAACCCTGAAAAAGGAGATGTTTGCTGAAATAAGCTTGAATTATACTTTGTTCAATCTTGGTCGCAAATTTCAAACAACATTCTACAGAGAAGTTATCTCGAATTTCCAGCCACTTCAACCTCAACACTTTCATACTTTGAGCTAGGTATTGAGGCACAAACCTGGTTTTGAGATAATTTTTTGCCAGGTCTAAGACTCTTCAAGCAACTTACTCTGAAGAATGAGGAAATTTGGCATCTATTGTTTTCTTGTCAGTCTAAACCTGATTCAGAAAGAATGTCATTTTAA